CACCCCACCCCCCCCTCCCCCCCCCCCCCCCCGCCCAACACACACACTACTGATTGAATGAGGCGCACTGCGCAAGGCCCGGTGGCAGGCCAGATGAAATGGAGAGAGGCCAGAGGTCGTCCGCAAAGAGCCGGGATTTCCCACAGCCCGCTGTGGAAGAGAATACCTGTCCTGCCCTTTTCCAAGCAAGCTCCGACATTAGGGTGCCCAGCGCCCTGGGGCCAGGGCCCGCCTTTGCTGTCCTCTGCAAAGAACTAAGGGGCAAACACGTCTAAGCGCCTGGAGAAGCAAGAACGGGAGTCAGGCAGGACACGGCGCTGCCCTGACCTCTTGGCCCACCCCTGCACAGGAAGACTGGAAGTGGCTCTGGGCTCCTGCCCTACAGCTGCGCCTTCGTTCTCACGGAGAATCTGACACTTTCTCCTCCAGATTCTCATCCGTGGGTTCCTCCCATACCTAAGTGCCATGTAGACCCCTAAACCAACCGACTTCCTAAGCCAAGAACAGAGCATGCAGTGGTGGGAATGGTCCAGCTCCCGGTGTTGGGCTTGGGTCTGAACACTCGTCCATCCATTGCTTTTCCTTGCCTGCCCCTGCTCCCTGCTCCTGGCTGTTTTGTTCTATTTCAACCTTTTCTAGTGAAAGTGAAATGTGCTGAATCATGAAATCTTACTGAAAGAGAGAAGTTATTTTTGGCCATTTATTTAGTAAAAAGCACTCTAGAGAATGCAACCCAGAAATGTACTTTATTATGATAGCTTAATGTAAGAACAGAACTAAATAACGAATATTTCCCCTTTGTCATCTTCACTTGGGAATCATTTTTAATGTGAGCCAGCATGAAACCGTTTAGGCAATATACAATATTTTAAGACATAAAATTACCCATGTTTTTAATAGCAGCTAACATGGATTGAATGCTATGTGCCAGGCACTCAAGACAGACGAGACGCACGCTTGGTGAAGGGACAGGCCACACATCTAGGACACCAGGCTCCACGGCGCGTGGTGACTGCACAGCTCCCCCACCGTGTGATCTGTGAGCAAGGGAGGGGCAGGAAATGGTTTGCTTGTCTCCAAGCTCTTTGCATGCACAGAGTTGCCGGGGGCCTTTGCTCAGCACTTTGGAAAATGATGTAGAATGACTGGCCTGACTCATGGTGACCTGAGGACATCTCCCATCTCCAGCTCTCTGCTTGCTACTTCGCCCACCTTGGCTCAGTCTTTCCTGTCCCCTCCCTCCAGGCTATAGTAGCCGGGACTCACCTCATGCTCTGCTTTGTCCCCTATCCTGGGTGGCTTCTAAAGGGAGTTCCAGCCTTACTTTTGGTGAGTGCTCAAGGACTGGTTTTTTGTTGTTGTTGTTTTGTTTTGTTTTCAGAATTAAAGAAGTGGTGAGTAAAAAATATGGGCACATAGATAATAATTTCTAACCTCAGGGGCCCGGAGAGGAATGGCATTGGTCACACGGGGACACTCAGTGACAACTTCACATACAAGTAAATTCCCTGGAAATAACCTCTCTGTCAAAGGCACAGGATGATTGCTAATGCATCCAACCTTTCTTCCACTAATATTGAGGTAGGCCAGGTTGGGACCTGTTAGCTGCAGCAGCGGTGAGCGAGCCCCGTCCACACGGAGCCTGATCTAGTGGAGGGACAGTGCTCCCTGAGGAAGGTGCTCTGTGGCACTCCTTTGCACTGGGAAAGGCTCAGAGAGATCTAGCGGGTCACGCCTGATTCTCTCGGGAACGTGAAAATCAACGTCCCTTTCTTCTGTCACTGTGCATACGTGCATGTGTTGTCACCAGTGTGCCTACAATAATGCCCTCAAACAGCAGTATCCAAACCTGCTCAGATCTCCGCTTCCATTCTTCATCCGTAAGAAGCAGTGTGCCTGTGCTTCCACTAAGTAGTAAACACTGGACGCACAAGACAGGTAGCAATTTGTTGTCCAGCAATCACAGCAATCACGTAGTCCAAGGGACGAGCAGAAGTGAGACACCACCGACTCTCCACACATCCCAACTTCCCCTTGGCTTTCAGAAGACCTCAGTGCCATTCGCAGGGTGCTGCCCTCTTTCTTGTGAAGCATGGTTCCTGGCCCAGCACCTGCTTGTTCCCTTGGTCCTGTTTCTTCAGATCTAAGCACAGAGCTAGGCACAACACAGTGCTGAACAAATTGCCTGTGGAATTACAATGTAAAATCAGTTTTAAGAAAGTATTATGAAACCAAGCCCCGGTGGCTTATGCCTATAATCTTTTTATAAATATAATTGTATTGCTATTATTAAGGTGTTGTACAGAGAGGTTACCATTTCACAAGTCAAGCAAGGCATGTAGTTCTTTTCCGGACAATGCCACCCTTTCTTTGCTTTCCCATTATCCCCTCCCATCCTGTGCCCACACAGTGTCTACTGAATACTATGACTGCATTTGTTCACTCTTTCTCTCTTCCCTTCTGAGCCCCCCCTCCAGAAAAAGAAATACACACACAACATCATAAATAACCCATGTTTGAGCTTCCTGGAACTTGCACCGGTAAATAGTATTTTTACATGTTCAGGAGAGTTACAACTTGGGGTTCCTACCCTACTGGTATCTTCCTTTGGTCTGACTGTTCACAGGCAGAGCCTGGAGCCGTGCTTTGGTTATCATGTGCAGTTGTGTTTTAGATCTAACTTCCACATGTGAGAGAATACATGCACC